GACTCTGCTGATTTCAAATACCATTCGAATGCTTTTTGTTCATCTTTAATTGTTCCTACTCCATCTGCATAATAAATAGCAAGATTATTTTGTGCTTGAGGATATTCAGATTCTGCTGATTTCAAATACCATTCGAATGCTTTTTGTTCATCTTTAATTGTTCCTATTCCATCTGTATAAGAAAGAGCAAGATTAAATTGTGCTTGAGGATCTCCAGACTCTGCTGATTTTAAATACTATTCGAATGCTTTTTGTTCATCTTTGGTTGTTCCTACTCCATCTGCATACCAACTGGCAAGATTGAATTGTGCTTGAGGATCTCCAGACTCTGCTGATTTCAAATACCATTCAAATGCTTTTTGTTCATCTTTAATTGTTCCTACATCATTTGCATGATAAATGGCAAGGTTATATTGTGCTTGAGAATTTCCAGACTCTGCTGATTTTAAATACCATTCAAATGCTTTTTGTTCATCTTTAATTGTTCCTACTTCATTTGCATAATAAATGGCAAGATTATATTGTGCTTGAGAATTTCCAGACTCTGCTGATTTTAAATACCATTCGAATGCTTTTTGTTCATCTTTGATTGTTCCTACTCCATCTGCATAATAAATGGCAAGATTATATTGTGCTTGAGGATATCCAGACTCTGCTGATTTTAAATACCATTCGAATGCCTTTTGATTATTTTTTTTATCCAACCCTCGTCATTGTATAATTTTCCAATTAAATATTGTGTTACAGCATCCATCTCTATGGGCTGCTGATTGTTGATAATATTGCAAGGCTTGATCATAATCTTTCTCAACGTTAATGCCAAAGTGGTAAATAAAGCCTAGAATTTTTTTATATCGTATATTATCTCGTAAACTCTGAAAAAATTGTATTTTGTTAAAAGACATGAGAGATTTTATTGCAGTGAGTTTCTCTAAATATTCTTTATCGTTTTCATTATATTTGAAGAGAGTTAATAAATCATCCAATATAGTTTTTCCCAGCTGCTCATTGTCCATTTGTTGCAATTGATTCTTGATTTCATTTATAACTGTATTTGTTGCTTTGAATGATGATAAACTATAATCCAATTCTTCCGAATAATTTACTTTAAAAAACTTATGATTCTTATTTATATTTGCATCTTTTGTAGTATATGAAGCTGATGATATTAGAATCCATTCTGTTTCTATTTTTGTGACTAATTCGATAGCGTTCTTTTCTGTTTCAAAAGATTGTTTTTGGATCCTTTCTTTACTAGTTGGGCTACATTCTACATTTAGATTATTTTCCAAATCACAGTTATTGAACGCGATATCTTGCTCGTTGTGAGAATTTACAATTACTCTTGTTTTTTTTGATAACATGATTAAAGACGAAGGGGTTGAAATTATTTCGAGATTTCGTCTATTGATCTCTTTTTTTGTTAATTTATGATTTGAAATTCAACTGATGTTCCAATAACAATAATACCGATACATGTAACAATAGTCATCAATTAACATGTACATTTACTTTCACCATTGCACATGACTATCTTTGATTACTTGAATTGGATTTCATTACATATCATTATTACATTTTTATTTTTATATCCATAATAACCAATTAATTTATTAAATTATTATGCTATTTTATTAATTAGTAAAGAACTTGTTTCTTGCTAAAGTTGTGTTCATACAACATCAAATTAATGTTACAACAATTTAATTGGTATTACATTAATCTAGTAATGTACGTAGGTGTGTATAATAAATAATACAAATCGGTAACACATTAGTTATAAAAATATATAGAAAATAATGTAAAAGATAAGTTTTGGGGGTGAATAATCTTAATAAAAGGATCAAACTGTGTGGTTATTCTAATTATCCTCTTCTTCTCTATTCTTACTACTTGGGATCCTTTGTGGACATTAGTATATATTTTAATAAACATCTTCTGTCTTCTACGTGTAGAAGACTACGTTCGTATCGCCAAGTGAATTTTACCAGAATACAGTCACTATCACCTATCTAGAGAATACATACGTATTCCGGTCGGTGTATATTGAAAGTTGACTGTACGTACTGTTACACTAGTACACTAGATCTTTGTTAGAAACGCATCGTTTTTTTTCTTTTTTTCCTTTCTATTTCTTTATTTACGTTAATCACTTCTAATTCCACTGTAAATTCCACCGTAAATTCCATCATAAATATGAAATCAAAAAATGTATATAATGGGAGTGAAAAAAGCAATTAAAAAGAGAATCTGCAATAAAGCAATAAAAACTTTAAAAATATAATTACAGTGCCTTTTCATTCTCCATCCTAATAATCCATTGTTGTAAAGAGGGTTTGCCACTTTTGATCCAGAAAAAGTGAGACTATTACGATTTGAAGGGTTTGCCACTTTGATCCAGAAAAGTGAGATACGTAATTGTTTTAACAACCATAACGACTGCGATTTGGAAGGTTTATGCTTTTGGTCCAGAAAAAGAGAATGTGTTATTAACTTTCGTGAATACGTGAACGAAATCTAACCGACGATTGAATACAACAATATCCGCACAAGACTTTAGAAAAATTGATAAATAAAATAATCTTAGTCTAACTCGTTTCTCCCACCCAAGTTACAGATTAGCAGCTAACGCTAATCGGCCCCTAACCTGTAACAGTACTTTGTTACACGTATCCTGTCAATTGTCTTGAAGCACTAAAAATGCACGTCTCGTAAGTTGTAAATTCTTAATTTGAGATTCTTCACCTAGCAAATTACGTATTTATTTATCCTACTTCTAATGCTAATATTCTTTACAAGAATAAATTACGTGATATCAATATCAATATAAATGTATTAATCAGCTACAACCTATCGCTATTATCGTCATAAGTAGGGGTTGTTAATACATGTAGAACCTAATCCACTTCATGTGACACTCTTGCCCACACGGATTGACCCGGAGCTAGAATAATGATCAATTTTAAAAACAGAAATAGTTTTCTGGATTAAAAGTCCAGCGAAATCACTGATTATCCAAAGTAGTGAAAATAGATTCGAAAATATAGTATTTGGATATTGTTAGTTTCGTTATGAAAAAAGAGAATAAGACAACAATTGTAGGACCAAGCGGATGTGGATAAATAAATTCATGATTATTGTTTCCTTAGTCTGAAAATAAATACAGTGACTCACTAAAGAAACGGAACGCGAAAAAAAAATGGCGAGATTCGAATATCTCGCCATGGAAGAATTATCAGAGACCAAAAGAAAGTGGATTTTATTCATTAATAATCACAATGACTTAATACAATTTTTATTTTCATCTATCTTTTGAAATTAAACTAACTTGAATTTTCAATTTTT